CCCCCCGCCTCCCGCTTCCCTCTGAGATTTGTCAGTCTGTTCCATGTTTCCATTCCTCTGGATCTATTTTGTTCCTCGGCTGGGGGGGCGGGGGGGTTGTGTTTTTTATTTTCGTAACCTTTACTACAGTTAGTTTATCTTTTTTTAAAAAATATGTTTTATTGATTTCAGAGAGGAAGGGAGAAGGAGAGAGAAACATCAATGATGAGAGAGAATCATTGATCGGCTGCCTCCTGCACACTTCCTACTGGGGATCGATCCCGAAACCTGGGCATGTGCCCTTGGCCGGAATCGAACCTGGGACCCTTCAGTCTGCAGGCCAACACTCTATCCACTGAGCCAAACCGGCTAGGGCTGTTCCTCAGTTTATTTTGTTCATTAGATTCCACATATATATAAGTGAGATCATGTAATACTTGACTTTCTCTGACTGGCTTATTTTGCTTAGCGTAATATTCTCCACATCCCTCCATGCTGTCTCAAAGGGTAAGAGATCCTTCTTTTTCACAGCTGCATAGTATTCCACTGTGTAACTGTACCACAGCTTTTTTTATCCACTCATCTACTGATGGGCACTTGGGCTGTTTCCAGATCTTGGCTATTGTAAATAACGCTGCTATGAACATAGGGGTGCATTCTTTCTGATTGGCGTTTCGGGATAACACTGCCCAGTTTTGCCAGCCCAGAATGTCCCCAGACATTGCCAACTACCCCCTGGGGGCAGAGTCCCCTCTGTCCCTGTGGAGAAGTACTGGGCGGCAGGGATGTCAGGGAGGGGTTTGGGAGTGGGGAAGTGGAGGAGGAGGGCTGCCCAGCTGCCCCCTCAAATGCTGCTTTTCTTGCAGGAGGAGCCCATGGCTGGGCCCACCACCCACGTTGCCCCCATGCTGTTCCTTGCCCTCCTGGCGTTTCTGGAGCTGAGCCTGGCCGGCTCCCTGGGCCCCGGAACCCCTGCTCGAAACCTCCCTGAGAATCACATCAACCTCCCAGGCCCAGCACTGTGGACGCCTCAGGCCAGCCACCACCACCGGCGGGGCCTGAGCAAGAAGGAGCGGGGGCCAGGCATGCCTGGCCGGGCCCAGGATGGAGCTGTGGGCACCTCCACCAGGCAGGCCTCCAGGCTGCCAGGGGCAGGGGGGCTGCTGCCTGGGCAGAGTCCTGCAGGCCTGCTGCAGGACAAGAGTCTGCTCCTGGGGCTGGCCCTGCCCTACCCTGAGAAGGAGAACCGGTCTCCAGGGAAGAGACGCGGCAGGGAGCACAAGAGACGCAGGGAGAGGCTGAAACTGCACAGAGGTAGCTGGATATCTGGGATGGGTGGGGTGTTGAGATGGAAGGGAGGGCGGAGTGAGGGGCGGAGATGGCTTTAGGAGCAGGCCCGGAGGGGGTGTCCATGGTGTAAGGTCACTGGGAGGACATCCAGAGGCCCCAAAGGAGGCAGGCAATGGGCACCCAGAGGAGTGAGGGGGTCTCACTAAGGTCAGAGGGATCTGGCGAGGGGAGGAGCCTGGGAGAGGCAGGGAGGGACGTGTGGCCATAGACGCTCAGTCTTTTTTTTTTTTTTTTAATTGATTTTTTACAGAGAGGAAGGGAGAGGGAGGGAGAGGGATAGAGTTAGAAACATCGATGAGAGAGAAACATTGATAAGCTGCCTCCTGCACACCCCCTACTGGGGATTTGCCCGCAACCAAGGTACATGCCCTTAACCGGAATCGAACCCGGGACCCCTCAGTCCGCAGGCCGACGCTCTATCCACTGAGCCAAACCGGTTAGGGCGACGCTCAGTCTTATCAGTAGGTAACCCTTGCACATCAGAAGCTCGACTTTGCATCTGCCCTGAACATACTGATTAGCCATGGACCAGTTCAGGGCCCTCCAAGGACATCACTTCATCGCCTCCGAGGCCTAGAGCAGGGCTGAGCGCATAGATTCTGAAGCCAGAATCCGCCCAAGTGACCAGCTGTATGAGTCACTGGCCTGTGCCTCGGTTTCTCCCTCTGCCAAATGAGGAAAATGGCCCCATCGAGCCTCAGCGGAGGCCCAGAGACCACCTGGTATGTGGAGAGCTTGGGGCGGTGCCTGGCAGGCGGCAGGGACGGGGAGCCGTTGTTGCTAGGTGATGCTCAGCTTCTTCTTGATGCTGAACTAGTGTCCTCCAACCTGGGCACAGAGGTTCCGGGGGAGGCGTCTCATCGCTATCGCTCTGGCCTCTGCCCTGTCTGTTCCCTGCGGTGCTCCCCATCCCCTTAGCCCTCCCCACCTCCCTTCACATCTCCAAGCCCCTGCGAGCATCTAGCTGCCACTGTTCCCAGCGCCCCCTCCCTTTGCCCATTCCGTCTCTGAACAAACATTTCCCAGCAGCTACACTCAACTGGCTCCTCCCCAGGCTCACCTGGCCTCCAGCCCCAAACCGCAACCGCAGCTTCCAAGCCTCTTCCTGTGACAAGACTGCCTCTAGGGGCAGGGCTGGTGGTGCAGACACAGAGCACAGAGCGGAAGGGGTTCTGCAGGGGGAGCGTGGTGGAGCCTCAGCCCCGCCTCCCCCTGCAAACAGCTGGGGCTTGCTTTCCTGCCAGGCCTACTGGGACCCCCAACGTGGGCAGAACACAGTCCCCAGGTGTATGCGTGGCAGGGGGGCAGCTTAGATCCTCAGCCCCCTACTCCTGGATGCTGGCATCCTTGAGGACAAGCCAGAGGGCACACATGGGGTGTGGATCCATTCAGCTCAGCTCCAGCCGCCAGCTTCAGGGGACCAGTGGGGCCCTAAGAGAGCGAGTGGTGTGATTCAGGGGTTGAGCATCGACCTATGAACCAGGAGGTCACAGTTCAATTCCCCGTCAGGGCATATGCCAGGGTTGCAGGCTCGATCCCCAGTGGGGGGCGTGCAGGAGGCAGCCGATCAATGGTTCTCTCTCATCACTGATGTTTCTCTCTCCTTCTCCTTTCCTCTGTGAAATCAATAAAAATATTTTAAGAGAGAGAGCGCAAAAGGAGGAGGGGGCACGGGAGGTCTGGAGGCCAGGCCCAGCCCAGCCCAGCCCAGCTGACCAGCTGTGAAGCCTGGGAAATGAAAGGAACAGATTTGAAGGTCCCTAAGTGGCCTTTCTCATCTCTGGGATTCATTTCTGGAGAGTGGAGTGATCCCAACGACCCAACCAGCCTTAACGTCAGCTCTCGCCTGAGACAAAGAGGCAGGGAAGAGCCCGGGCCCTCCAGCTTCTCTCGAAGCCCCGTGTTCCCGACCACCCCAACCCTGCCGGGTCACACTCACCTACCTCATGCCCATACGTCTTGGAAGGCGGCATTGGTGGTTAAAAGTATTGATTTTATCCTCAGGTGGAGCTGGGTTCGAATTCAAACTTCAGTATTTACCAGCTGTGTGCCCTCGGGGAGGTCTCTTAACCTCTCTGTGCTTCAGTTTCCTCCCTGGTGGATGAGGCTGACAGAGTGCCTGCCTCCCAGAGCTCCTGCAGAGCTCATGAACTAATGCTAGTACCGCAGGACGGGGCATACACCGGGGTCCTCACACACACAGGCACTCAGCAAACAGCGTGTTATCACCACGTAGCCAGCCTTCCCTCGTGTGTGATAAGCCTCAGTTCTCACCTTCCAGACTTCTCAAAGGCCTCTCCCCCTGCAACGCCTCTCAGCCTTATCTCGTTGCTCCTCTACTTAAGCTTGACCTCCTCCAGGAAGCCTTCCATGTTAATCCTACTAATTCCCATTTGTCGTACTTACACCCTGGGCTGCACCCAGCCATCCCAGACTTGGACTTGCTATGATGTTGCTTTAGATCAGCGGTTCTCAACCTGTGGGTCGCGACCCCTTTGGCGGTCGAACGACCCTTTCACAGGGGTCGCCTAAGACCATCCTGCATATCAGATATTTACATGACGATTCATAACAGTAGCAACATTACAGTTATGAAGTAGCAACGAAAATAATTTTATGGTTGGGGGTCACCACAACATGAGGAACTGTATTTAAAGGGCCAGAAGGTTGAGAACCGCTGCTTTAGATTGAGAATCCCTGGGCTGTCTCCCCAGCAACACTGAAAGTTCACCCCCGACATTCCTCCGCCCCCAGACCCCGGTTTCCACCTTCCCAGGAGCATGGGCAGCAGGGAGGTTTGGGAGCCAAAGGCTAGCCAGGCTGTCAGACTTGTCACGTGACGCCTCCACCCCCTTGTTTGCAGCGGGAAACGTGGGTTCTGCTTTGGGCCGATGCGGGGCGGCGAGCAGATAAAGGCCCTGTGTTTCCTGTTCCGTCTCTCAGGCCGAGCCTTGGTCCGAGGTCCCAGCTCCCTCATGAAGAAGGTGGAGCTGCCCGAAGACCAGGCGCTGGACGCTGCCATGGAGGAGTCGTCCACCAGCCTGGCCCCGACCATCCTCTACCTCACCACCTTTGAGGCAGCACCTGCCACGGAAGAGTCCCTGATCCTGCCTGTCACATCCCTGTGGCCCCAGGTAAGGCCTCGGAGCCAGAAGAGTCCTTGAGACCACATCATGCAAATCCCTCTTCGTCATTTAGGGAGACTGAGGCACGGGGGGTGGGGGTGGGGGTGGAAGGAAATTGGTGGAGGCCCCTGGGGTGAGCTGGAAACCAGGTCTCCTGGTGCCCGTCCAGCCCAGCTACAGCCCGGCCGGCATTCTGTCCTGAAAGGGAGGCCACTGTCCAGGAGAAGGTGGTCCTGGGGGCTCACTCTGGGGACAGCCAAGGAAGCCAGTGCCCGCTCAGCACACCAGTCTCTGCATGGCGAAGAGCAGGGTCCTTGGCAGAGAATTTTATACAGACGGAAAAGTACAGAGAATAACAACACCGCAGAAAGCCCCGTCCCCGCAACCCAGAAGTAACCAGTGTTAGTTAACACATCTGCTTCGGACCTTTACACATACGTATGGAGAGAGCAGGCGAGCACTTGTGGCCAATTTGCTTCCACCGGCAAATCGAGGAAGGGAACATGGGAGTTCATTGCATCATCCTTGCAATTAGCAAGATACGCATCATTGCACCTCTTCTGTAGCTTTGCAGTATTTTCCAAAATAATATCACGTAGCCCTAGCTGGTTTGGCTCAGTGGATAGAGGGTAGTCCTGCGGACTGAAGGATCCCGGGTTTGATTCTGGTCAAGGGCACATGCCCCGGTTGCAGGCTCGATCCCCAGTGGGGGGCGTGCAGGAGGCAGCTGATCCATGATTCTCTCTCATCATTGGTGTTTCTATATCTCTCTCTCCCTCTCCCTTCCTCTCTGAAATCAATAAAAATATATTTAAAGTAATAATATCAGCTAAAATGATCAATAAAGTATATGTAGAAGAAAAGAACTTTACTTTTTAGCAGAAGATCTTTCTTATTCTCTTTTGGGGTCTTGCACCCCCTGAGATTCTGAGAAAAGCTGTGAACCATCCCCAAAGAAGACCTGGTTATCCCTGCCGTCACAGGCCCCCTGAAGTCCATGCCCTGAGCACCAGCCCCGAAAGGCGCCTTTATTGCCCATGTCCTACTGCGGCAGATCCAGCCCCGACGGCTGGCCCGGGGCTGTGAGTGCAACAGAGCTATGGCCATGGCTCAGCGGTGCCCTGGCCGCTGAAACTTCCCAGGGAAAGAGGGGCAGGGAAGTGAGCAGCTGGCTTCATCCAACTCCCTCTTTGTGGATGTAGAGACCTGAGCAGGCCTTCCCAGCCCCTCCCTCAGAGGCCCGATGGGCGACCCCTCTGTCTGCATCGGTCGCCTGTAGGCACCTTTCTGCCTGGATGTGAAGTGAGGACAGTACTCTAGTGACTGCTAGTCTGGATGTCCCGGGGCTGGGCTTCTAGCAGAGGGTGACCGGCCTCTGAGGAGCCCCTCCTTTGCCCTCTGGCCCTGGGGCCCCCCATTTCTGTTTCCACCTGTTGGGGCTCCACGTTCCCTCCTCTCCACCCACCTTCTGCAGGCTCAGCCCAGGCCTGACGGGGAGGTGATGCCCACGCTGGACATGGCCTTGTTCGACTGGACCGATTATGAAGACTTAAAACCTGAGGCCTGGCCCTCTGCCAAAAAGAAAGGTACGTTCACCCAACCGGCGCGGCTGAGCGGTTGAGCGTTAGGACAGTGATGGCGAACCTTTTGAGCTCGGCGTGTCAGCATTTTGAAAAACCCTAACTTAACTCTGGTGCCGTGTCACATAGAGAAATGTTTTGATATTTGCAACCATAGTAAAACAAAGACTTATATTTTTGATATTTATTTATATATTTAAATGCCATTTAACAAAGAAAACCAACCAAAAAAATGAGTTTTCGTGTTCACCTCTGACACGCGTGTCATAGGTTCACCATCACTGAACTAGGAGGTCACAGTTTGATTCCCAGTCAGGGCACATGCCTGGGTTGTGGGCTCGATCCCCAGTAGGGGATGTGCAGGAGGCAGCTGATCAATGATTCTTTCTCATCATTGATGTTTTTTTTCTCTCTCTTCCTCTCCCTTTTTCTCTGAAATGAATAAAAGTGTAAAAAATTAAACAATTTTAAAAATCTTTAAAAAATACACACAAGAAAGGTACATCCACCTACCCACCACCCCCATGCCTGGGCTCCCTCCCCTCCCCCAGCCTGACCTACAGATGTCCAAAGTGGGGGATGGGTGGGGCATGGAGTCCACACTGCAACGCGCACCCCACAGGGAAATGCCACTATCGAGGACTTATCAAGTGCCAAACTCATTCCATGTGTCACCTCATTTGACCCTGAAAGAAAAAGGTTAGGTCTGTGCTATCCATGAGCCCGGTTTAGAGAAGGGACGGCTGCGGCGGAGTCCCCGCCACACTGGGATGGCGGTGCGTGCGCTCCGACACCAGCATCCGTGTGCTTGCTCTCGGCCCCGCTGGGCGCAGCGTCTGACCGCGATCTTCTTGTCCCCAGAGAAGACCCGGGGTAAACTCTCCAGTGATGGCAATGAGACATCCCCAGCCGAAGGGGAGCCGTGCGACCATCACCACGACTGCCTGCCAGGTACCGACCAGCGTCACGTTCAAGGCACCAGGCTGGGTGCTGGGTGCTGGGGGCCTGAGGGGGTGAGGTGGGCCTTCCCAGGCACACGAGGAGGCCTGTGGGTTCAGGACCCTCTCGGGGTAATAAGTAGGAACAACTCCAGCTCCCCTTTCCTGAGAGTTGCTGGAACATTGACTTCATCCTCAGAGCAACCCAGAGAAAGAGACCCTGTCACCCCAATTTTCAGGCAAGGAAACAGCCTCAGAGGGTGAGTCTCAGCCAAGGTCACACGGCTGGGAAGTGGCTCAACCCTAAGTCGGCCTGAGGAGCCACTGCCCCGAGCGCTGCCTTAAGTCCGGCTGACCCCGCCCTCCACTTCCTCCTAAAGTCTGGTCGGGCTCAATGCTGCCCTTGGCCCATCACTGCCCGGCTTTCTGTGGATGTTCCCGTGGCATCCTCACCCATTCGGCAGCTGTGCCCATCAACACCCTGAAAGCAAGGGGCTGGTGTTTTGACTGATGCCCTAACCTCCAGGGGCATCTACTGAGGTGGAGTTAGATATGTAGGAGGTTGGGGGTGGGAGTGGGGGGGTAAGGTCTCAGGGTGATAAGAAGGGGAGGAGCAGTGATTGGCAGGGGAACCTGGGAA